GTTGTTCCTCGATATCTTCTCTGTACTGATGATTTTTTGGAATAGCAGCAAACTTCTCTCAGAGGATCGATTCAGAGCGAGCGACACTTGATGACTCCGTTTGTGAAACCTTGAACCCCCCTCCCTCCCTCCCCTCCTAATTGGATTTGTTTGAAAATTGCGTATACTGTGGTGTTTTGGTTTTTTCTCTCTCTCTCTTTTTTTCTTTCCCCTGGTTTCATATAGCCGACTTTTTCTAATCATGAATGTAAAGATGTGTGGATTTTTATATAGCATAATTATTTAGGTGTCAAACAGAAATCTGTAATTTTTTTGTCTAAAAGATCAGCTATATTTGTAAGCTGTAATATGTAAAAATGAGAAGAAAAAAAAGAGGATATCAAGCAGAATGTGTTGGTTTATTATAGTATATATATACTGTACACTGAAAAAGAGAAACTATCTCAAGCTGTTTGCCAAATAAAAGTAGTAGTGATGTAAATATTTGGGGTTTGCTTGTTTCAAATCAGTTGAAATGTAGAACACTTCATTTTCTGCAGCATTAGAAGTTCACAGCAGGATGAAGATGATCTACAGATTTTGATCACAAGGACTGGGAAAGATGAAACAGCACTGTATAAAAAAACTAGTTATGACTTAAAAAAGTTAGTGTCTGGGTTGCCTTAAGTTACCTGAACTTAAAAAAAATAAGTTGAGATAAATTTGTGATTATTCCAAAGAAATAAAATGTTCTATAGTCAAATAAACTTGACATCAAGTCAGTTGTACTTAAATCTTTAAGTTCACAAAACTTTTGATCACAACTCAGTTCCTGTGAGATGATCTAGTTTCTAGTCTAGTTCAATTTCTTTTGACTTGAAATCCAAAGTTAAAATACTTTATCAAAAGTTGAATCCATCTAAAATACTGAGTTAAATGAATTAATCAATTTAAATTGAATATATATATTTCTATTTTAGTGAACTTAAATCAGTTCAGCATCAGCTAAAAGCACTTCCTGGGTATTTATCAGATTGATGATGTCATCGCTGACATCACTGGGGCAGACCATTTTGAAGGGGTTTTATTTCTGAGAAATGTTTTCTTTCTAATAATTTCTTCCATGTTTGAGCTACTGGTAGAATGTAATTTAATCATTTGAAGTTAATTCAGTTGAGTAAATGATCTGAGGTTAATTTAAGGGTTTATGTAGATTTCTTTGCTTTAAGAGAAAAGTGTAAACCCACTACTTGAGTTGTGCTGCACCCAGCTGCGGCCATTTTGTTAATGGGGCCATCTATAAAGCCAGGAGACGTGCTCTTGCATGAGGAGAGGTGAGGATGTGCTACCTTTAACATGTTTCTTAGTCTGATTTAATCATGAAGTAAGTTGCCTTATTTACGTTGAACTTTTGTTGTTTTGTTCAGTTAACATGTGTTGGTTTAATCACTGTATACTCACCTCTTGGAAAATCTTCATCTGCTGAGTTGCCTTTCTACAACCTTCCTAGACAGTTGTGCTAACTACTTTACAAACATTGAGATTGACATTTCTTTCCATGTATCTAGCGATGTGGAAAATTCCAAGCTTTGGTCTGCAGGGACTCAGACTTTTTCTGACAAAGTCCAATCAATTAATGTGAACACTAGTGTGCCAATTTGTAAATGTGGAACTGCTGTTTTTTTTCAGATACAGGCAGATCCCAGTCTCTCCTCCTTCAGTGGGTCAAACTGGAGTATTGTTGTTGCTGATAAAATGGTTATCCTGTTTTGATCAGAGTTATCAAACCATCCTGCTGCTTCTGGTCATCTCAGTTCCTCTCTTCTCTGACTCACTGTTTGCTATCTGTCAGGGGCCTGTATTAGAAAGATGGTTCAGCAAATTCTCAGGCTGTTTTTGAAACATCTACTAGACTTGAGTATGTACTGATTTCTCTGGCAAAATATTCAGTAGATTATCAGACCAGTCTTCGCTGACTGTTTCCCACAATGCAAAGCGCCAGGTCAAAGATTGAGAAGACGGACAGCTATGGTACCAGAGAAAATAAATACACAAATCAGACAATTTAACCAGATATCGCAATCTCTGCTCCTCTGTATACCTATTGAAAATAATTAATTTAACTGATTCTATAGGATTCTGATGAGTCACATACTTTGCATTTCAGAAACTGAAGTGGACGCCATTGATGTTTACCTGGACGGACAGTTTCTGGTGGTCTGTGAAAAAATGGAAACCTTCATTCAGACATCAGGTCTGTTTTTTGAGTCCATACCTTAGTTGACATCTTGTTGATTTAAAGTTATATTAAGTTTACCTCTTTTTATAGGACTAGTTCTTATAATTTGGTTTGTAAACTAGAGGTCCTTAGTGCATATGGACATTGATGACTCTCTTAATTATGACTGGGTAAAGTTTGCCATTCTTGCTAAAAATTACATTAATCCTGAGACTTGCAGGGAAAGAATCCACTACCTGGACGTCAACCCTGATAAGAGCCCTAAAGAGTTGTATGTGATGCTCAATGAGCTCTTTGGGAAATGGATCCAGCCAAAAGGTAAAAGCATCCAAGAAGTAAGTGAAATAATCATCCTACAACAATATTTGAGAATGTTGTCCCCTGAGCTTCAGGTATCGATCAAAGAGCATGACACAGATTCAGCAACGGGGGCTACCAAGCTGGCCGATGTCTTTGAGCCTGCACAGAAAAATGGTCAACCATGGAGCTACAATGCATGGAGGATGGCAAAGGACAGCCACAAACCAGCCCAGCAGTTCCAACAGGGGGAAGCATCCAGTGAGGGTAAGCCTCCCATGTGGGAGGGGCCAGCCAGCTAGCAGGCCAACAAAACCCTCTAGCATAAAGCTAATTTGTTATTTACGTGGACTTGACAGCCATACTAAACCATCTCGGCTAAGATGACACAAATGTGCTTAAAAATAACTTTTTTATTAAAAATGCAAAACATTGAAGTTAATGGAACCATTTTTAGGGCCTTGCTTGATGCTGGGAGTGATTATACACTGGTACACATGAAATTTGTACCACCCAACATTGTCAGCAACAGTGACACCATCCTTATCTGTTGTGTTCATGGAGACGAGAAGCCTTATCCAACAGCTGACATCTACATTAGTGTAAAAGGTCAAACTTACCTTTGACATTGGGGTTGCTGATAATCTGCCTTTGATGCTGTTCTAGAAAGAGACCTATCAGTTCAAAGCAGAAAGTGTAATGCTGTGGTAAACCGAATGCAGGCCATGCAATCCAATGAGCTCCTTTGCAATGAGGACTTCCCACACCTGGGAAGTCTTTGGTCTCTCTTTTCCAGAAAGCAAAGGAGAAGGAGCCAGAAGCTAAATTGGACATCATAAGTGATGAGTATGTCCTGCAAAATGGCATCCTCTATCATCAACAAGCGTTGCAGTTAGTGGTTCCCCAAGCAGCTAGAAACACCATACTTTCCTTGGGGCACTCGGTTCCCTGGGCTGGCCACCTGGGCCCACAAAACCACAGCTCACATTAAAAACCATTTCCACTGGCCTGCGCAGACATGTTGCTCAGGTTTGTGAAAGTTGCCCTCAGTGCCAGATAACATCTGCTAAAACACCCCCCAGAGCTCCACTTCAACACTACCTATTATTGGCACCCCATTTGAGCGCCTTGGGATGGACATTTTTGGTCCCATAGAGAGAAGCAAAGCAGGGAACTGTTAAATGCTGGTTATAACAGACTTTGCTACCAAATATCCAGAAGTCTTTCCACTAAAATCCATCCATGCTTTCTGTTTGGTACAGTTCTTTTCAAGGGCGGTCTTCCCTTGTGAAATATTAACTGATCAGGGAACTAACTTGATGTCTACTCTGCTGAAACAGGTGTACCAGTTACTGGGTATCAGGAGCCTCAGGACTACACCATATGTTCCTCAAACGGATGATGCTAACAGAGCACTTTAACCAGACTGCTGAAACAGATGCTCTGGAAGTTGGTGAACAACACTGGGATCAATGGCTGCCATACCTCCTTTTTTGCATGGAGAGAAGTACCTCAATGGTCCACTGGTTTCTCTCCTTTTGAACTTTTGTATAGACATGAAGTTTGGGGGTCGTTGGCACTGTTGAGAGAGATCTGGGAGGGGGCAAGGGGAGAGTGGGGTCTGTTAACGTTGTATCCTATATCATCCAGAGGAGAGAGCGGCTGGAGAAAATGGGGGAGCTGGCCCAATCGCACGTGGCGGACGCCCAGCAGCAACAGAAGTCCTGGTACGACAAGCCAGCCAGGCAGAGATTCTTCGACCCAGGACAGAAAGTGCTGGTGCTAACAAACTGTTGGCTAAATGGCAAGGACTGTTCAAAATCCTAAAGAAATGGCGTGAATGCAGCAGTGACGTGGTGTCATTCTCTGATTTTTTTTTTTTTTTTTCTCAAGTTTGTGATCCTCCTGCTGCAGTAAACTATCGATATGTCCATTTTATCCTTCACTTCATACACAAACTCCTCCGTTTCTGGGTCAGAAAGTTTTGTTTCTTCATCTAAACTTCCGGGTTTCGCCACAATCCAGCGCTGGAAACCTTTGATCTGTCCCCTCGTTTGTATGCTTCTTCATTCACGAGCTGCTATGCATTGACCGTTTATGGTTGATTGTCGGCGTATACAGGGCGGAACATGGGACTAATCTACGTGCGCACATTTCCAGGTGGGAAAGGGAACATTGTGTGCGTAGGAACGGTTTTATAAATCTGAATCATTTTGTGCACACGCCATTGCCGGGTTTTTGGCGAAGTGCATCTTTGCTGCTGCAGAAACAAAGTACCTGGGCCACATCATCTGCAATGGGGTTGTATGCCCTCAGGTTAACAAAACCAAGGCCATGGAGTGCTGTCCCCTGCCACAAACAAGGAAGCAGCTCCGATCTTTTTTGGGCTCTCAGGCTTCTATCACCACTTCATACCCAATTTCTCCAACAGGGCAGCTCTTGTCACGGACTTGACTAGATCCCGGAGTCCCAATCAGATCCAGTGGACAGAGGCGGCAGCTTTCAGTGATATCCAGCAATTACTAACCAAGCAATCTCTTCTGTACAGCCCAAACTTTGACAAACATTTTCTTCTGCAAACTGATGCTTCTGACAGGGCTTTGGGAGCTGTGTTACTCCAGGGACTTAAGGATGATCGGCATCCAGTCGCCTACATCAGCCGGAAACTGTTCCCCAGAGAGGTTCGATATTTGACGGTGGAGAAGGAGGCACTGGCTATCAAGTGGGCCCTTGATTCCTTCCGGTCCTACCTTCTTGCTCAAGAGTTCACCTTGGAGATGTATCACAAGGCCTGTTTGGTTTGTAAACTTGGTTTTCTATTTTTAGATTACACACAGGGGGACTCAATTTACTTATTAGTTGACTTCTGAAGGCAATTGGTTGCACTGGATTTTATTTAGGGGGAGCTGAATACTTTAGCACACCACACTTGTCAGTTTTTTATTTGTAAAAAAAAAGTTTGAAAACCATGTATCATTTTCCTTACACTTCACAATTATGCGCCACCCACTTTGTGTTGGTCTATAACATAAAATCCCAATTAAATACATTTAAGTTTGTGGTTGTAACGTGACAAAATGTGGAAAAGTTCAAGGGGTATGAATACTTTTGCAAGCCACTGTAAAGATGTGGTTCTTCTTTTTAGGCTTTGGTAGAGAAACCATCCAGTGGTGACGAGAAGACGTACCACTATCTCCTCCCACAGAAATACGAGGGAAAATACGTACACCCATTTTTCTGCCGTACGTTTGATAAGTGAGGGCCAATATGTGTTGTGTTTTTGTCAACAGGGAATGTGTTTCTACTCATGTAAAGATGGGTTTTTCCACATTTCAAACTTTGCCTTATTGTTGACCAAATGAAACATTATTTTTTTCTTTTTGTCATCACAGCCATAGAAAAAATGGATGTAGGATCTTTGAAAGAAGTTAGTCGAGACCCTCTTCTGTTAAGGTTATTTTTTATTTTCTGATAAGCAGAACTTTAATCCCACCTCTCTACACACTCAGCTCCAGTCTCAAATCAAGAGAGACTTCTGCTCGACCAATGATTACCACATCAAGGGCTGCAGTACAGTGGTGATGTTCAGTCTGGGCCTTGAAAACACTTGGTGAGTTATTGTTTTATTACGGCGCTTGAAAAAAATATTTTCGCGGTTGTATCCATGAATTAAACTGTATTGGAAGATATCCTTGCTGTTTCTCACTGATGTTTTTCCGACTGCATTTTAAACTGGGTTTGGCTGTAATTATATTTACTGTCAGTTATTCCCTCTGGACACCTTTTGTGGACAAAATGTACACACAAAATCTGCAATAAAATCATCAATTATTTTCTTTTGTATAATTTGTTGTTTTTCTGCTTTTGTTTTCTGGCCTTTTCATGGTTTTGACAGAAGGAAAGATCTCGCGCGAGAGTTCTCCCTCGCCCCCGGTCTCGGGTGCGTGAGAGACAGGGCAGCTTCGGGAGAAATCTTTTGATTATAATATTCTTCCACAACATCATCTGCATCATCATTATTATCACCACCATCTTCATCACTGCCAGCAACAACAAATTTGCAGTATTATTATAATGCCATTGGAGACAGCGGGGTGTGCCACAGAAACACACACCTGGATTGAGCCCCAATGAAAAAGACTGGGCTTAGACATTTCAAATGTTTGTTTTATTTCATGTGCACACTTTATTAATTAACTTGTTAATTGCATTAGTAAATTGTATATTGTAATCTTGACGTGCAATATTTGTGTTCCTTACATACAAAGTTTGAAAATGTATTCCTGTGTGCATCTCTTGACTGATATTCAGACCTTGGGCTCAAGGTGTCCTAGTCTTCTGATGTTTGTCCACCTTCAACACTTTATTTACAGTAACATGGGTTAAAAACAACTATGCTTTTTCCCTGAATTTGATCAGATATGTTGGTAGCTATGACACACCAAATGTTTTCATAATGTTGTTTACAGTTAACCTCAAAGATAATATTTGTATTTGTAGTAGCATTTTTCTATTTTTAAAAAACTGTTTGAGTGGAAGTTCAATAGACCTCCTTTTTGTTTCTGCGTTTACTTGAAAGTTGGACGCTGTTCCCACTGAGCTGTTAATAAGTGCATAATAAAGTATTTATTAATCTTTAAAAGTAGTGTTCCCACTTTAGATCCAGTACCTGCAGAGGAGCTTTATTAACTCTTAATAAGTGCATAATGTTCTTTTCTGTGCATATTGTGTTGAAATATGGATAAAATGTTGTTTTTGAAAAAAGAAAACAGAAATACAGTTTAAGTAAAACTAAAATACATAAACATATGTATAAAATTAAACACTGGCAGAAGTGAAAAATAAAGCTAGTTCAAAAGCGTTCATCCGTTCAACGCAAACTCAGTGTCAAGTGTGTTCAAGACATGGTCAACACATCCCGTTGTGCTCTGCACGCTATTTCATCAAAGAGCGTGACCGTGGCGTGCGTTCAAAGTTTGAAATGCATTTTGGCAACTTGCCAAAAAAGTAAATGATTATATTTCTGCAATGCGGTGTTCAATCATATTAGAATTTCTCATACATGATACAGGACCCGCCCTGAACACATCCATGATTGACATTTTTTGCTTAGTCACAGCGCCACCTGTTGACAACAGGAAGTTACTGCTTCTCAGTTAGCATTAGCCATTGCTACAAGGTAGCTAATTTCCCTCTCAGAATTGGTGTGGACCATGCTAACACCTCGGCCATACAGCACGTTCAAGCTCAAACACCTGCGTCCAACGCTCTCGCCATACGGGTGCATCATTCACTTCAAACAGGAAGTGGCTGTAACTCTCATACTTTGTCTGATCTACTTCAAACTACACAGGTATAATCAGGGTTGGCCTCTGAACACAGACATAACAATAGTCAACTTTAACCATAGCGCCTCCTACTGCAAGGACTAAGTACTACACAATGCTCAATTTGCTCCATATTTCATAGCTATCATGACAGTGCCAGCCTGAACTGCTCTACGTCAAAATTTTCTGTGATCTTCATTACGCTGCCTATTTCAGCATACCATAGTACAACTTTTTCACAAATCGGACTGCACGGTCTGCTGCTTAACCACGTTCCACTGCTGCTGCACTCCTGCGGTCGCAACACACCGCGACGTGCACAGGGGTGGCCCTTCATCACCGCTTGCGGTTTTCATTTTTTATTGATTTGGACAGTGAAACTTATCATAGTTTTGATAGAGAGCATGAAACTGAGGATTTGTGGAGCTGAAAGCTTTTGCTCACTTTCAGCTAAGACGTCTCAAATCAGGTAGAAACTGTAAAAGGACTTGAGCTTGAATATTTATTTTCTCATCTTCTGACTACTCAAAGCGTTTTTACACCGCAGGTCACACCTACACATTCCCACCCTGATGGTAGAGACTGCTCTGTAAAGAGATCATCAGAAGTAACTAATCACATTCATACACCATTGAAGAAGCAGTGGGAGCAACTTGGGGTTAGGTGTCTTGCCAAAGGACACATCGGACATGTGGCTGCAGGAGCTGGGGATTGAACCTCTGACCTTTAGGTTGAGAGGCGACTGACTCTACCACTGAGCCACAGCCGCACATAACAAATGATAAGTGCTAAATGAAAACAGATCTTCAAACTTGAACCAAACTCCAGAAGTTTCCGGGCTGAGCTGCATGTTTCACTCAGACTCAAGGTGCAGTAGGCAACTGCTTGGGCCCCCATGTCAGGAGGGGGCCCCTGAAGGGCTGACAAACTCTAAACCAACAGTAGCGCAAAATGTGCAAAGTTTGCAATGAATGACAGTGAGAAACCTCCCTAAGGGGACCCCTACTGGCAGCACTCATTCTTGTGCTGTTAAGCATCTCATACATTATTGCTCTGAAAACCTACAGGAATGAAAGTCACCGAAGGAAAATTAAGTTTTTTTGTGTTTTTATATATATATATATATATATATATATATATATAGAAAACAATACTAATGAAAATTTAGGAAATTTAAAAAAAACTGACATTTAGAAAAAATAGTTGGTGTTAGATTATTTATGATATAATGGTGATGAAAGCTTCTTTGTATGGAAGCGACTAGTGATCAGAATTCAAATGATAAAGCTAATTTGAAAATGAACAGAAATTATTTTTAATTTTCAGAATATGGGTGTATTATTTGACTCAAAAATAAAATTATGACTCATTTATCTAAAGTGCATTTTAGTTTTCAACTTCAAAAATGCGGATTAAAAAAAATTAGTTTTTTTCATTTTCAAAAAATGCCCTGCTAAATTTGAGGGGCTCGTGTGAATTTTGTGACCTCAACAGACTCTAGAACCTGCCTGCCACTGCTCAGACTTCATCCAGAGTTTCTCCTGTCAGCCCCCGGTCTGAGTGAGCTGATGTGAGAACGCAGCAGGAAATCATCAGGAGAATTCACCTCGAGCGAGTGGGACAGTCCTGAACGGTCTACACACTAACCGCTACGACGAGGAGGCAAGACATGACGTAAAAAGAACGATGCGATCTCGTGTTATAAAGTAGATATAATACATTTTATTTATAAGTGCTTTTAAAAAAACTCAAAGACACTGTACAAATTGTTAAAAAACAGAAAGAACAGCACAGTAAGGACAGACTAACAGACATTGCAACATTACACACAAATCATAAAGATAACAACAATAAAGGTAAAACTACAGAAAACAGAAAATACATCACAATCATACATTATAAGCTTTTTTAAAGAGGTGAGTTTTGATCAGTGATTTGAAAGTAGGAGGGTCGGTGCAGTGTTGAATGTGTGTAGGGAGTGAGTTGAGATATGATCGGTGAAGTAAGAAAGGGTAAATAATTGACATTTGTGTGTGTGTGCGCGCATATGTTGCACCCATGAAAAGACCAGGACTCTGTCTTCCGTTTGGCAAATTATTCTTCCCGGTGCTTTATTTTTTTATGATTATCTTTCTTAAGAAGCATCAAGTCCTCACAA